CCACCACATCCCCATACTGCTTCCCGGATTTCATCTTCTGAAAAGGTTGCAACTAACATGTCATTCTCGTCTTGACTAATTTTTCTGAAATTGTTTAGTTCCAGGTGAGGCCTGCTCCATTGTTCCCCCTCAAACTTGTTACTAAAAAATTCCTTAATGTAATTTTTAATTGTGTTAACATCCTCTGTCCATTCTCCATTACTATGCATGCCTTTAATCCCATTTTGCTTCCTTCTTTACACCACATACCCATGAAAATAACTACTATTGGCATCCCCTTCCTTGAGCCATTTTTGCCTTGATTTTTGATAAAGTAAGCTGTCCTTAGCCTTGTTCCACTCCCAAAGCTTGAGAAAACAATCCTTTCTTTGCTCCACTTCTAGCTCTGTTAATGTGTGTGTCTCTCCTTTTATGTCCAGCCTTTTGATTTCCTCTCTTGCTCCATCTATATTTTGCTCAATACTTCCGAATACATCATTGTTCCATTTCTTTAGGTCCCTCTTTAAGCACTTCAGTTTTTCCTTAAGTTTATAACAACCCCAACCCTCCACGTCATATCTGTTCCACTTTTCCTAAACAAATGCACTAAAACCTTCTTGATTAGGCCAACAGTCTAGACATCTGAATGGCTTGGGACCCCAGTTGTTACATGATTGTTTGAGCGTGACAGGACAGTGATCAGATATGTCTCTTTTGAGGCCCTATTGGATTACATTTGGGAAATTATGGAGAAATTCTGGGGATAGCAGGAACTTGTCTAACCGACTCATCGCAGAACCATCCGCCTTATACCAGGTGAATTTTCTACCAAACATGGGGAGATCTTCTAGACCTGCTTGTATAATGAAATTGTTAAACTCCCTGGCTTCTGTAGCATCGTAGCTTCTACCTCTCTTTTCCTCAATGTCTCTGATAGCATTAAAATCACCCCCAACACACCAATTGCCCTTGTCATATTTTTCCATTAAACACAAAATTTCTTTACACAGCATACGCTTCCCCTGTTTCTCACAAGGAGAATAAACATTCATAAAAAAAAGGGAATACAATCCCTTCCCCAAAAGCCTGACATTCCACAAAATCCATTTCCTAGTATCTTTTTATCAACCACAAAAACACTAGGATTCCAAATGCAAAGAATACCCCTCGATTTTCCTTGTGCCGGATTCACTGCCCAATCACAATTATCCACACCCTAAATTGCTCTACAAAGTCTAATGTCACATACCTCCATTTTAGATTCTTGAATGAACAACATATCTACCTTTTCTTTCCTGATTAACTCCTTCAAGGCCTTCTTTTTGCTGCTACTTCCCAAACCTCTAATACTGATTGAGATGATCTTCATGGGTGGCCATAATAAAGTATGGGTATTACTCCAATGCTTCAACGCTCACAAGGAAATCAACACAAAAAGCAGCTCATAATAAAGGATATCGATTACAATCCTACCTTTGCAGACTCACTATTATGTGATGAGCTAATCAACCCAAATATATAAAAGTTCAGCCACCTAAATGCCCCTTTTTGCCCTTGAACAGCCCCTACTTTCATTGGGCTTACTGTCTTTTCATGCGTTTCACAAAGGGCGTCCTGCAGCTAGACTGTTCATAACCTTTGCTCCTCATTTTCAACTCAACTGTGAGTTCTAAAAATGCCTTTTAGAAGCCCATTTTCTTAAATTTCCCCTTTTTGCCTTTTATTTTGGCTTCTTATGATTTATTATTTTTTTTTACACCTGATAAAATTAGACTTGATTTGAAGATCTAACTCAACTTATCTATATAGGTTGAGTCATAAATCTAAAGTATTAATATGGAATCTGATATGATTTAAATTAAAATTACTCAAATTTAATTAAGTTGGGTCAAAGTTGGATCAAGGTTGGATTGGGTTAAGTTAGATTGAATATGATTGGGTCAACTTGAAATGAGTTAATTAAAATTAATTAATTTTTTAATTTAAATTTTTGATTAATTTAAAATAAAATAAAATATTATAAAATAATTATTATTTATTAAATTATTAGAATTAATATTAATTTAACTTTTTTTACTAAACAATGAATTAGTATTAATTTTTTTAAAAATAGAGAAAATATTAAAAATTTTATTCTTAATTTTCATTTTTTTTTAAAAATAAGATCCACTTAACTTAATTTAATACCCATATAAGTGAGTTATAGGTCTATTCCTTTAATCCAAAATATAAAATGACCTAACTCAATAAATTCAAAATCCAAAATAATCCAATGTGACATGTTTACCAAGTCCAATTGTTTTCGATTCATTTTTTAGGGGAGATGATCTCACCTGAGACACTAGGGGAGTTCGTGAGAGACGCTCCAAATGGGAAATACACTTATTGAAAGGTTTTTCTCTTTTATTTTTTTTACAAATTTTTTTTTTAATTTTTTCAAAGCTATTTCACTATTTATACAAACATTCCTTAGAAATATCTAATTAATTTTTTTCAAATAATTGAAAATTCATCATTCAGTATAATAAGTTGATTTATTTAGAATACTCTTTATAAAGGGAAAAGAATTAAGATTTTATGTTATTTTAATAGCCCCACCTCGGGAGGTATATTGCAAGGGTTTATACAGGTTCTCTGGATTCTGTAGTAAAGCAAGTCACTTGATGATTATATTTTTTTTTAGACATGATTATAGAAGGCTTTATTATATGCTATCTTCTGTGTTGATTCAATATCTTAATTTCTGTGTTGCTGTAATATGCATCAAATTGCCCACAAATATACGTTGTTTCTGTAACTTCTGTTGGTTGAAGATTATAATGTTTGATGTTTTGTTGATTTTTCGATGAGGTTGTTGTAGTGCAAATCTCTGTTTTTAGGATTTTTCATTTATAAATTTTATACTTTTTTATAACAGCTTGCAGACTTAAGTATTAAACAATTCATAGTGTTTGTTTGGTTATTATTGTAATCCCAGCTAGCTATCCCTCAATTTCTAAGATGTAAAACTCATTTCTTTTCCTTTATAAAAATGTGAATTAGGTTTTCAATATATATGCATAATCTGTTGTGCAAAATAAAATAGAGATCAACTGCAATCTTACAAATAAAGTGCAGAAAAATAAAAAGAAAGGGAAGAGAATATCAAGCCGTGATTTATAGTGGTTCCTCCAACCCGGAGTACGTCCACTCCCCAAGCCTCCTTGCTTGAGAGTTCAATCCACTAGAAATCTCTTGCTTACGGGTGCAAGATTAAACCGGAACAATCTCTTGCTTGCGGGTGCAAGATTAAACCCTCACAAGTGAATCTCAACTCACTCAACCCCTTCAAGGATTAACCCAATTCAAGAAGAATACAAAACCCTTGTAAGATAATATACCCAAAAGCTCACAAGAAGAAGAAGAAGGAAACCCATAGCTGTTTCAAACTCTGTTTTTCCGTAGCAGTTCGTCCTTCTTCTCTCTATTCTCCAAATCTGAATTTTTCATCATTATAATAGGGGATTTTGGAGCCTTGCAACTAAAGTCCATTTAGCCTTTCAAAGCCACCTCACAATTGCCCCAATTAGGTTCCACCTTTTTCTTCTGACTTGTCTTGGAAAGTGCTAAGACATTTAGATCCCCTAGAACCCATTAAGAATAAACAAATAGTTGAGCTGTCAAAATTTACCCTTCCAAAATTTTTGCTTCGAAGCCAGAAATATTGCTTCGAATCATTTTCGGAAAAAAAAAGTTCGAGATTGATTCGAACCAAAATAACTTGGTTCAAACCCAGAACTCTGAACAAGGAGGAACATGAATTAATTCTAATCGTGGGGAAAGATTAGAATCCTTGAATTAATTTCCCTGCACACTTAGCACAAAAATAGATTAAACTCTTTTGAATCATAGTTTTAAAGGCAAAAGGTACCCGTTTGCCCCTTGACTTTTCGAATTTGAGGGTTTTTACCCTCCATATTACAATACATGAATTTTTTACCCTTCATATTTTCGAGTTTGAGGAAATGAGGCAAAATTTAACGTCAGAGTGTCACGCGTAGCACGTGCACCGTTGGCCTCCATCAAGTATGCACATATCAGTGCCACCTCAGACTTTTTTGACAACTTGGCATGCCAACTTGGACCCCATGAGCGGGAAGTCTATCTGCTACCAATTTTATTTGTAGGCTCCACCGCTGACTAAAGGTTTGAAAAAAAAAAA